AGGGACGCTCAGGAAGCTCCCCCAGCCTGCACCCCACAAGGCAAGGTAACCCCGTGGGACCAGGCCCTTGGTCTTTACCCAAAGGGCCCTCCGCTGACACAGGGAGCCTTTCACTTCCCTCATGTTCTGTAAATCACAATGGTACTACCTTCCAAACAAGGTGGGGTGGTTGCATCCATCTGAGCACCCCTGCATGGCCCAGAAGAGGCTAGTGTGTCCAGGATTCAGGTGATAGGTCTCAGTGGTGTGCCAAACTCTAAGATTGGAAAGCTGGAGAGAGACCTATTTTGCATATTCTTTGTTTTTAAAGAGCATATTCAGTGACGGCAACAACCACTTAGCTGGCCCTGCTTTTCCACTTTAACAGCAAATGTTAGAATGTGGTTAAAAATAAATCCTTAGCAAATGAGTAAGAACATTTCTTTGGCAATTTGCAGGGTGCAGTCAGCAGCACTAGGAGGCTTCAAGATGATTTTGAGTTTCTCTACAAAATATGGGTTAGTTTTCACCACCATCCCATTTTGCAGCTAGGTGTTTATGACCAAATCCTGGAAACAGAATGACATGCAGGGTGTGCTGGGCTGATGCTTAGTCGGTGGTTTCAGAAGCCTCCTGTGTTGTTGGTGAGCTTTGGTTCCGGACGTGACATCTGCACTTCAGTTTTCCTGCTGAGTTGAACTGTGCATCTTTTTAAATTGGGGACTCTGTAATGTGTAAGACTACCACAAGCTCTTGTGCTCACCCCGTAGACAGACCATCCCATCTGGGCCCGCTGATGTGGAATGGTCTGCCATGTTGGGCCCTGGCAGCCTCCAGTGGTTCTCAGGCCATAGACGCTTCAACATCACGCACTGCCCAGTTCTTGCCCACACCTCAGGCATGGCACCCAGGGATGGGGAACCTCTCTGCCTTTGCAGAAGCTGCTGAACTCACGCTGGGGTTCATGAGGGCTAGGAGCCTCCTGTGGTCTCCTGGCCATTTGTTCTCTGGTCCTCCCAGGCTGGCAGAGGGCCATCCTTCACCAGCTCAGCGTAGGAGAGCAGATCTGGGCACAGGACATGCAGCCTGCAGGAGGGAACTATGTCCTCGTGCTGGTCCTTGTGTTGCAGTGGCTTTTGCCCCACGTAGATGCTCATCTCTTATGCTTCACTAGCATGTTTATTTAAGTGCCTCACGCAACTGTGACATTGGTGTTTTACACATGGGAGACCCTCATCACCCTTCACAGTGTACCTCTGATTTGTGATGAGAGCCAGCCGTCACTTTGTTTCTTGCCCTTACTTTTCCAGGGCTTTCCAGGAGGTGGCAGAGGACCTTTAGCTGACACTGAGCACTTTAAGACCCTGCTGGCTTCCAGCCTTGCCTGGGTCTGTGCGGTCCTGCCTTCTTGACCCAGAGAGGTGCTCATGAAATGGCAGGTCGCTGCTGCTGCCTGCGTTCTGTTTAAATGGGATGGTGTGACTTGTGTAAAATTACAAATACATTTTTTATATTAACAGATAAATGGTTCTGAATGAATTATAAGGACCCTATTTTGTTTGCTGCAAACATTCAAGGAGGGAGTAATAAAAATGTGACTGGACAAGTGTTTGCTTTTGGTCACGTGACTTCTGTGTCTGGGTAGCTGCCCTAAACCTACAAGCTTGGGTATTTGTGTCACCTCCAGGGAACCCCAAAGCCCCCAGCTTCTCTCTGCTCAGTGCCTCCTTATGGGTGCTCCACTCACCTCAGCCCTACCTTGGGTCAAAGAGGTCATGAGGCTGAAACGATCACATTTGCTGTACGGCATCAGGACAGGGAGCAGCCACTGTCGGGAGCTATGTTTGTCCATGGTGCGTGGATCTGGCTGCATGGGGAGAGCAATCTGTATACCTCTAATGCTGGCTGCAGTTTTTAGGGAATTACATACTTACTGTTTCCTGGTTGGGGATTTAGTATTTGTGACTTTAGCATTTTAATTTTTTAGCCCTCAGCCTCCAGGGAAGTGCTGTCATCTTCCTTCATTGTGAGCATGAAGAAATGGAGGTTAGGGAAGTTGCCTACAAAGCAGGTGCCTCACCAGCTGTTAGCTGAGAAATCTGCTACTCCCTGATGAGGAAAGCATTTTAGGTCCCCATTTCAGGGCCCCTCATGCTCCTGAAGTGTTTTCTAATGAGTTCTTAAGCACTGCCACATCTCAGAACCTCTTGAGATATTGTAAAAGCCAGTCTCAGCTGTCTTGAGCCAAACACAGTGATCCTGGACTTGGTGGGGTAGAGGCGATCTGTGACCACCTGGACTTGGTGGGGTAGAGGTGATCTGTGACCACCTGCCCAGCCACGCCTCCAGCTCTGCCTTACACTTGCTCCTGTGTCATTCTTCGGGACGGTGCTCTTCTCTTGTGTACTAATTCTTTGTCTTCCTTTCATCCCCAAACAGGAACAGATTATTAGTCTGGTCAATCAGATCTGTGGCAAAGTATCTGGTAAAAATGGCAGCATTGAGAACTGTCTCAGTAAACCCACACCAAAAAGAGGCCCCCGCAAGAGAGCGACAGTGGACGTGCCGCCTTCCCGGCTGTCAGCCTCCGGTTCATCCAGAAGTGCTTCAAGCTCATCATGAAGATGCCAACACCCGTGGTCGATTTATATATATTTTTTTGTAATTATTATATTCTAGTTTGGAGTACTTGCTGTAGGATACAAGCTGTCTTTGCACTAGCTCTAAAGAAGATTTTCTTCTGGTTTTAGAGAACTAATTTTGTTTTAGCATTAAACTGTTGAACTTTTTTTTGTACTTAGAATACCTAGATACTGCAGTCAGATTTTGGAAACTGCCGTTATATTCACTGTTTTGAAAAACCCTTGAGGGGCTGTATTAATTTGTATTGCCCCTATGGCTGAGAAAAGCCTTTTTTTTTTTTTTGATTTTTTTTTTTTTTGTAACTGTTGGGGAAAAAAGGCTTTTTAAACCCATTTTTGAAGAGGGTGAAGTTTGGAGAACAAATTTTAAAACCATCAGTCATGTGAGCAGATTTTTCTAGATTGGAAAAGGGATAGGAGACACACACACAAACACACACAGGAAAAAACTTGAAAAGAAATGGCTTTGCTTTGGCTGTCTTTTCTTCTGTCATGTGCAAGATGAGTTTATAATTTTTAAAACCGGAGAACCCCCATTTTGTTTCTTTGGGCGGTTATGGCAGCTGAAGGCGGACGTTGTTTCCTAACCATAGGCGGAACGAGGAGATTGGAGCGAGTGGGTTCTCTTTACCAGCACATCACTATGCATCTGTTTAAGGGAAGAGGAAAAGCGCGAGGAAGACGACGCCTGCCGGCCTTGGAGGGGTCACGTGAGGGAGACCTGTGCCTGATTTCATTAGGAAATCCATTCTGTTATTTTTTGGTGCTGTTGGCTACTTTATCAAAAAACCCTTCAATAGCATCCTTAAGAAAAAAAAAAAAGGAAAAAAGTGATTGAAGCCATTAAGTGCTTCTTTGTCATCAACGTGCAATCTTTCTAACATTCCATCTTCATCTCACTGCTTCTTGTTTTACACCTTCACAAGTCAGCATTAATCTTTCTTTTTAAATTGTTTCGTTTATGATCACATTTAGAGCCACTAGGAGGTCTGCAGTTCTTTTTGAATGTGAAAAAATGTATTTGCGCTCATCTTGTCTATTTTTTCTCTTCATGTTGTAACAAAAAGGAAAAAAAGAAAAAAAAAAAGAATCCCATCCCTTTTGTACATACGCCTGTAAATTGTTTTAAATACTTGAGCCTTTTTCTTGGTGGGGGGTGGGGAGGGGTGAGAAGACAAGATGAAGAAAAGCCTTACATTTCAGTTTCTTCATCGGTTGGATTGGATGCTTACAGGGTTTTTCTTGTAACATTTATAAGTGCTGCTTACATCACTGAACAACAACAAAAAAATAATAATGGAGTAGCTGTTGCCCTTCTCCGGTTGTGTGTACAGTATGTGTGGAATAAAAAAGGGAAACTGTTTTCACAAGCTGTTCTTTGTTTCATAATTGGATTCATCAATCCCGTAGCTACCCATATTGCACTGAGCTTGCCAGTGGTGACTGCCAGGAACGTCCTATGATCCACTTTGTTGGTTGTTGTTGCAGAAGACTGAACTGTTTTGGAATATTTAACAATGACATAAACAGAGTCAAGTGTTTTCCAATGTGGTTGTCCGGTTTTTATGGCCTTGCTGTGTACTTTTCCCTCTCTTTGACAGTGAACTTCTGCCTCTGGCTTACAGTTTGACATTTAATTTATTAGCGCTGCTCTGCACCCCTCTGTTGGGAGGGAATACTTCATGTGGTTTATTGCGAGTTTTTGTTTACTTTTCAGGTTTGTAATACAAGGTTTAATAATAAAAACAAAGTTTTTTGGACTTTTGTCTGTCTTGTGGAAGATGAGTTAATAAAACAAGCTCTTTTCTGATCCCTGGAGAGAGGGCTAAGACCTCCCTTCGGCCAGGGCATGAAGCTAACAACACAGGTTGAGATTGTCCTCTGCTGGTGGTTGTCCCCTTTGAGCAAATTAAGTGGTTTCCACGTGGCCCAGCTGGTGGCCCCTCCTGTAGCTGCCCTATGTGCTAGTGATTCCCACTAAACTGTTCCTTCACTCTCACTGGACTGTGAAGAGTGGTGAAGGAAACACATCTCTGGGGACCAGGTTTTGTCCAAGAGTCAGGGCCCAAATGTGTGTTCTCACTATTAAAGTAGGACTCAGTTGTGGACTGATGATTTTGTAATCCAGTTGAAAACCCAAGCGCTGTCAGAGCTGAGCTTGACTACAGTTTTTAGCCTGTGGAAGGGCAGGTCTTTCACTTTTACTCAGAACTGAGCCACTGTCGAGCCTGCTCTGGCTCCTCGGCAGCCCCTCCCCATCCCCATGCCCTTCACCGCATTCTGTGGGGTCAAAGAAGAACGTGGCCTTACATGGCCACGTGGCCTAAAGAACGTGTGTGCTCAGTAGCCTGTCTGTATAAACTAGCTCTGCACTCTTAATGTTTGAAGCCCTCAAACTTTATTGTTAGCTCTTCTTCAATCAGTTTCTCATACATTATTGGCAATTGTATAAAAAAATCAAGAACCTCCATCAAACAACCTGACATTATAGGCGGGATTCTGTGCACAGCTAAAGCTGACTTGGATGTAGTCAGAGAATAGGAACGTCCTATTTAAGAGTCGCTGTCGTCACTCACACCTGGAGAGGCCTTTCTGTTAGTGTGTAACGTGGCTAGGTCAGTGTCCACCTGGACTTCCTCCTCATCAGACTGAACAAGGGGGGACTCCCCACCTGCACTGGGCTCCTGCGTGGCTGGGTCGGTGCAAGTAGAAGGGGAGGAAGGTGGCGTGGCTCGGAGTTCTGAGGGATTTGGAACCTGAAGTGTAATTTCATTCTGACAGGTACTGGATTCAGGCCCTGCAAAATAAAGCCAAAAAAAAAAAAAAGCCCATCATGAAAGCCTTGCAGGTTGGAGTTGCCACAGATGGCAAGTGTTTGAGTGTGCTTAGAATCAGAAGTGTACAGTTTTGGTTCCCATGATCTGGGGTCTGGAACCAGAAGGCTCATCACATTGTAGGAACTGCCCTGGGAGACTGAGCTAAGTCAGCCACCTGCGTCAGAGGAGGATTTCAGACTATAACATCCAGCATAATAGTAACTTAACGGCCCGAGGGCAAGTGCTACATGTCTTTGAGGAGCAGTGCGTACAACCTTGACAATCTAGATTTACTTCTCTTTATCCTTTTAGGTAATTCAGAGACACCAGGGCTAAGAGAGAAAGTCAAAATTATTGACCTTTCAGCAGTTCTCCAATTTCATGGGAACTAAAGTTGACAGAATCAAAATTCTTTATGCAGGTTAAGTCACCATTCTATAACTCTCCTTGGCTCTGAAAGAAAGGCCAACATTAATTTCTTTTTCCAGTATTCTGTCCTCAGGGCAGGAGCAAATGCACCCAAGCCCCTCTCTTCCCTGGGATAACATCGCAGATTGGCAGGAGAAGTTGAGAGGAAGTAGAAATAGACCTTTCTGGAGATGGCCGTGGTGCTGCTGGGAGGACTGAGCTTCACTTTCACCCAGCCAGAAGAACTGGTCTGAAATTTTAAATGTACTGAGCCCAGGCATAGGTCTAGTGTAGGTCGGGTGCCTCGGTAAATATTTGCTACATGAACATGAAACAGACTTTTGGGAAGGCATGAAGCGCCATAGGGTTGGAACAGATTTTTTTATAATAAAAGCCAAGGGCTGAACACACGGTACAGCCGTGTGCGGGGCAGGCACCCCACTACAGGAGGAGGAGGAGTTAAAAAAAAACAAAACATGTTTAGGCCAGGTACAAAATGTGTCCCCACCTACCCCTTAACCATAATTAAAAACCCAACTCAAATTAATTTCTGGGATGGAAAAGCAGGTAAAACACAATTAAGAACGCTTTCTACCTGCTGAACGTGTTGCGGCAGAACACTTACAATCTTGAGAAAAATTCATGACTGAACAACCCCTGTTGCCGTTTTCCTTTGCCTCACTGTGGTAAGACCAAGCCCAGGTAAGTGGAAATGTGGTTTAGTGGCTGAGAAGGGAGCTGTGCATTTAGAGATTTGTGTGCCGTATCTGGTCAGACAATGCTGATACTAAATCCTTGGTTAAGTTTACGCAAGTCTGTCAACCCTACCTAAGACGGGGGACAGCACAGCGTTGTCTTCTCCGCCTGAGTTCAAGAACACATCCAAGGCCTCCTGGTCAGATATGTCCATCAGATCCATCTGCTCCAGCATGTCCACGTTCACTTCCATGGACGACATGCTGCCTATGGGTTCTAGGAACAGATCGGCAACACAAAGCATACTTTTTATTAATACTTTTAGGCATAAAGTATCTCCTGCTACACCAGCCTTACTTCAAAACAGAATCTGCAATGTATTACTAATGACACACTCCAGTCTGGTACTTTAAATACATACCAAGTCACCCTTGGTGACCTTGTTATTACAATCACCTTTTGATTTCATAGCAATTACTCTGTTCATCCCTAGCCCTTTGTGGGGGATGCCGCAGATAGGACAGTCTGCAGTAGGCAGTTGTCACCTCTTTGGTGAGGGCACCTGGGAGCACATGCTGTCTCAAAGAGGCCAACAATGCTGCAGCAGCTCAGAGTTGGCAGCTCCCTCCCTGCCATAGGGAGGTACAATCCTATTATTCCAGTTGAAGTTTTCACAGCCTTTTGGTCATTTCTTGGTTTCAACAGCTAAAAGGGTTTGAGCATCTGCAAGCTGGGGAGTTAAGAGTCAAGAGCTCCCTGCAGTGAAAGCACAAAATAGACGGAACCAACACAGCCCACTAGTGAATGATTAAGAACACTGTTCATCTGCCTCCGCCTGGGCACCGATAATGAAGGATGCCTCAAGGTCTGGAGTTTGTATTATCCAGGTGGTGCCTGGCAGAAGCAAACGCAAATTGCTTTTGGAAAGACACACCCTTAACCTTGATTTATACAAAATCCATTCCAATCCAGTCTGGAATTTGTAATATGTGTGGAAATAAAGCTCTAAGAATAAGGGAAACAAACGGCATCTTTTCCCAAGAACTTTACATGTTAAAAAATGATGGAGTAAAAATTGAAGATGGGTCTTGAAATACAAACACACCAGACATTTTAAAAAAGTAACGTCTAGATAGGAAAATTTAATCACTGAAATTTAGGTAAAAGTGAAGATTACAGTTATACAGAAAATTAATAAAATAGAAGATATTTTTGCCACAATACTGCACAGAAATAAAAAGATGGGAAATACCAAAAGAGCTTAAGAGAAGAACTGGAAAATGAAAAAGTTTAATATACATTCACAGTTCCCAAAGAAAAGAATGGAAGAGCAACTATATTCAAAGAAGCTGATTATTTTCCTGAATTGAAAGACCTCAGGACCCAGATTTAAGAAGAAAAATGCATTCCAAGCAAGATAAAAGCAATCCTCACCTACATCAATTGCTCTGAAGCTGAAGAACATCAAAGACAAAGGCTCTCTGAAAGGCAGCCAGAGAGAAAGGGCAGGTTAAGAAAAAGAAGGAAATAATTAGGATGACAGGCGACTTCTGAACACCAATAATAAAAGCCAGAAGACAGAATAAGTTCAAAGAGGAGAGAGAAATGTCATCTCTAAAATGATACATCATTAGATACCATTTAAGATCAAGTATAAGACACAAGCACAGTAAGACCAAGGAAAAAACACCTTATAATGGAGCCTACTGAAGGTGTAAAGAAGGAAGATCTAAGTGCAAAAAAGCAGATTTAGCGAAGAGACTTGCGAGGTTGTGCGTGATCGAAAGCCTGAACTACAGCAGTCAGAAGGGAATTACTGTAGTCCAGTTAACCTGCTGAACAGTAAGGGCCTGGGAGGCAGAGGAGTGTGTGCTTAGAAGTCGTCTAAGACCCCCATTCCACCTGGCAGGAAGGTAGAGTTCCATTATCATTAGGTGCGCTAAAACAAGAGGTAAGTACGTAATTTCTATTTTCAGGTGGGGTAAAGTTCATTATAGTTTAGAGGATCCCTTGCCTGCTCTGCCCTGCTTCAGACCTGACAGGGTGTTGACCGTGGCCACACAGAGGACACCAGCGCACCGTCACTGTCCTTGACCTACAAGGCTGACTGGTCAGGGGAACTTGACTGTTACCCACTTCTCAAACCCCTCCTAGGTGAGTGGCTTGTGTTTTCTTTCTGGGGCTGTGGAAGCCTTTCAGCAAGGCCTTTATGGCTTTATAACTTTTGGCCTTGGTTTGACTTCATTTTAAAAGGGGCACTGGCTCCCATTTCTGTCTGTACCATCTTCTACAAGGGCAGGAATATATCTTTTTAAACAGAAAAGAAAAAAAATGGACTAAAATATTGGACAAATGCAGATGATGATGATGAAGCCAGGGAGGTCAGTAATCACAATAAATACTGATAAATGAAACTTGCCAGGTAAGAGATTATATGACTAGAACACAGTGGTAAAACTCAGCTTTATTCTGTTACAGGAAATACTGATGAAAATAAAAACATTAGAAGTTTTATTAAAATATGGAAAGCACGTAATGGGCAAAGGCTTTATGAAGAAAATTATCTTCTTATACAAAATAGATTTTTAAGAAGAAACAAAAGTAATACAGATAAAGAGCAGTAATGATTTTTTTATTTTGGGTTTTTTTTTTTTTTTGAGACAGAGTCTCACTTTGTTGCCCTCAGTAGAGTGCGGTGATGTCACAGTTCACAGCAGCCTCCAGCTTTTGGGCTTAGGCAATTCTTTTGCCTCAGTCTTCTGAGTTGCTGGGACTACAGGCACCCGCCACAACGCCCAGCTATTTTTGTTGCAGTTGCCACTGCTGTTTCGAACCTGTCACCCTTGATATAGGGCCAGTGCACTACCCACTGAGCCATGGGCACCGCCCAGTGATGATTTTTTAAAGATTCAGTTCACCAAGAAGATAATTCAAAACTTCTGCAGAACTGTTTCTGGCTATGTTTTTAAAAATGGCAGAATGACAATGAAAATGCAACATCCATAATCCTGGGAAGGCACATGTTAATAACACCTATTTGGTGACTGATGTTAGCCGTTCCAGAATTAGTAATAGAGAAAATCAAAATCTTATTTTACAATCACAATAGAATTTAGTTAGAAATCAGTAACAAAAAGTAACTGAGAAATTTTTCACACATTAAATATATTCCAAAACAGTTTAAAAATCAAATAGGACATCTTATGGTTAGGCACCTATAACTCAGTGGTTACAGCACCAGCCCCGTGCACCTGGGCTGGCAAGTTTGAACCTGGCAGGGTCCTGCTAAACCAAAAAAAGGGGACATCTTTAAAAAGGAAAAAAAAAAAGGAAATCTATAAACTACTAAATATCAAAACTTATAGAATTCACCTAAAAATAGTATCAAAAGTAAGAAATCCATAGTTTTGAATGTCTCAGGGAGAAACACTGAAAATTATGCCTAAAAATCAGTTTAAATTAGGAAAAAACCAAATGCCCAAATAAAGCAAAACTAAAGTAGAAAAATTAATGCAAGAGTAGAGAGGAAGAAGAAAAAAGTTGGTTCCTTGGGGGAAAACCCAAAAAGCAAAAATTAACAATTTTAGGACTGCAAAAGCGAGCCTGACCACAAATATAGCAAGCAAACATTGCAAAGAGCACTGTGGGCAATGTTATGCTAATATATTTGAAAACTAGGCAATTCCATGGAAAACTTGCCAAAATTAACAAGAAATAGAAAATCTCTAAAGGCGTCAACTAAAAAGAATAGGTGGCTTTTCAAACAGGGACGTCACTTGTCCCAGCATGTTGGGTGGCCACTAAGGGGCCTGCTCTGCCTTTAGAACAGTGGTTCTCCACCTTCCGAATGCCGTGACCCTTTAATACAGTTCCTCATGTTTTGGTGACCCCCCAACCATAAAATTATTTTCATTGCTACTTCATAACTGTAATTTTGCTACTGTTATGAATCATAACATAAATATCTGATATGCAGGATGTATTTAGGCGACCCCTGTGAAAGGGTCATTCAACCCCGCTAGTATCGAAACTCAGCGGGATTCCAGTCTAACTCTGGACAAGACTTTCAAAAAACTTGAAACTATAACATTTATACAAAAGGACAAAGAGCCAAAAATAGCTATGACAACTCTGAAGAAAAATGAATGTATGAATATGTATAGAATGGAGGGCAGCGGAATGGCTCCAGAATATACTCTAAACGTCCTATAAACAGGGTTTCCTGGCCTCGGCAGTATTGCACTTTGGGCCCCACTTTGTTGTGCGGCTGTCCTGTGCAATTTAGGGTGTTTGCAGCATGCCTGTCGTCTGCCCACTAGGTGCCAGTAGTGCCCCTTACCCCAGTCACCACAAGCAAAATGGTCTAATGTCCCCTGGGGGAGCAGAAGTATCCCTAGCTGAGAACCACTATTTCGTGAGTAGGCATAAGACAGGATCGGTGCAGGGACAGACAACAAAAGAATGGAACTAAAAAGAGAACCTAGAAAGGACTCACTGATATATGGGAACTGGGGAATTATTTACCACTGTGGAAGGAATTCTTATCAGAGCCCTACCCCACTGCATACACAAAAGTCAACTGGCAGTGGGCTAAAGAGCCAAACAAAACGGAACACAGTAGAATGTCCTTAGAACTTGCAATTAAGCATAAACCATGAGAAATAAAACAGGTAAAGCAGATTACCTTACAATAGGCTGATTTAGCAAAAGACTATTCTAAAATTAATAAGGCAGGCAAGCTATAATCCTAGCACTTTGGGAGGGCAAGGCACGAGGAACGCTTGAGGCTAGGAGTTTGAGACCAGCCTGAGTGAGACTCCCCTCTCCACAAAAAACCAAAAAATCAGCCCGGTGTGGTAGTGTGTACCTGTAGTCCTAACTATTTGGGAGGCTGAGGCAGGAGGATCACTTCAGCCTGAGAGTACTCTGATTATGTCTGGTCTCTACTTTAATACATAGAACTTTCATAGTTCACCACCTCCCTACACTGAACATCTTAAGCTGACCGAGTTTTCATAGACCAAACATGCACCATGTATACACGCCAGTGCGGTAGGTCTAGTTCCTCATGTTGAACACCTCCATATGCTTACCAATTTGTTATAGTCTCTTGAGTGGTCAGCTTACAGAGGTGCTACTGTATCTGATACGACCAAGTGCTGACAAAGATACAGAATAATCAGAACATGAGTACAAGGCTAGGGAGACTGTTAACTGGTAGAAATTTGGTATGCAATTTGGTGGAAGCTAGTAAAATTAAAAATGTGCACGTCATG